TATGGAACTGCATCTGCATCACCCATCGTCTAAAACAGCGAACGGGAGACGTAATCACGGCCGGAAAGTTCGATGGCCTCGTCATGTAAGGTTCGGCGGCGTTCAAGATGTACCGAGGACAGTCGCATCGTTGGGTTGTTGAGATATTTTTATTTTTAGCGTTTAGAGTAGGTCGTCTTAGCGTTATCTATAAAGCTCGACCAATACACACATTAAATAATTGAAATTGAATTTAATTATATGAATATGAGCCTTCATAAAACTCTTTTATGTTTTTACACCCAGCTCTTGGACTAGGAGGACTTCATTTTCTTTGCCTAATTTGTTCATATTTAGATTTACTGGGTAAAATAAAACACTAAATCACCACAATACACCAAAACACTTTTACTTTTACACTGGACGCGCGTTTCGCTAACCATGTTAGCATCATCAGCAGATGATTATAAACTAAAGTACAATCTACAATTTGAGCGTTTATATACTCGCTCAGTGGGCACCGAGTGGGCGTGGCAAGATCTGGCCAACCGAGTCAGAGCCCACCGAGCGTAACAGTTGGATTTCCGCCACTAGAGTAGTAGGAACAAAGAACTTGAAGAATTGGACCGTTGTCTCTGTTCATACTTTACATTTATTAATTCTGATGCTTTCATATGCATCCTGAGGTGGCTATAATTTGAGACTTGTTTAATTTTAAATTATTAAGATCTATACAATGTTCTTTATCAACAATATGTTGTTCGGCAACGCAAGATTTATCCAGTTCACCATATCTTGTATGAGCTAAATGTTCTTTAAATCTAGTTAATATTGATCTTCTAGTTTGCCCAACATATTTCTGATTACATATCTTTACAAAGCATTTTCATAAATACCCGACCTTTCCAATGAAGTGTTTATCACGTTTGGATTATCTAACATAATTGTTGTAATTTATTATTAGCACTATACACAAGTTTTATAATTGGCATTCTTAAATTCCTTTTTAGACCACGGGATAACTTTCTATCAAACGGCATTGAAAAATATTTTTGACATCTTTCTCCACTTGAAAAGTCAAATTTTCAATCATTAACCTATGGGTTTTCTAATTATTTTATCAACTAGTGAAGGAGAAAATATCCATTACACTCAGCTACATTCCTAATGTAATCTCTTCCTATTTCATATCTTTCGTTGGAAAGTGGAAAACTAAGTAATCTATGAACTAAGAAATTTAAACTAGCCATTTTATGTTCAACACTATGATATGATCCATTCGGAATATATCTGCTTGTAGTGGTATTTTTCCTATAGATATCAACTTCCAGAGGCAATTATTAGTATCTTTAATAACTAATACATCTAGAACACATACAACTCTAATTTACTGGGTGTTACAATTCCTATGTCACACAGTATATTCTGTGGCACAGGATTTATCGTATGTATTGAATCATTTAATTATTATCATCACACATCAATTAACAATCACTCAACAAATCAGATTATAAACAACAAACATATTATTACTTCAAACAAAATCCATTAGAGCTCAACATCACAATCATTTCTCCCCCAAAAAACAACATGCCACATCGCTCTAAAAGCCTTTAATTCATTACACGTACTTCCTCTCCGTTTTCCCATTATCACTACAATAAATAAAAGATAAGATCGCATTTATTTTTTGTGTTTTATCTCAGATAAGAAACCCTATACTAATTCTTCCTATTAATAATAATTAAAATATATAATTTTGGCATAAAGTTACACGAGTTTTTCGAAGTAAGAACCCTTCAGAAAAAATGAAAATTACAGTTTCCTTGTTGGTGCTTTTAACAGCAACGATTCTATCAGTGTCAGCTCAAGATGTCAACGTAGATGACACACTTCCGTTCTGCATTTGTCCAAGAATCTATTCACCGGTTTGCGCTTCTGATGGACATACCTATGGAAACAAATGCGAAATGGAATGTCAGTCAGCCAGATTGCTGACCAGGGGATTGACCAGTTTGAGGATGGTAAGAGAAGGTCCTTGTGTTGGGGAAGAACCTATTTACGTGCCTTTGGAGGATGGACTTGGGGGTTTTCTTGGAGATGATGTCCCTGTTGAAGTTTACGATGAGTAGAGCTTGTATTTGTATTTTTAATAAATGATGTGTGTGAATAAAACAATGAAGTATTATTTTAGAGATGTTTTATTTAAGAAAAAAAAATACAGATCAGTTATTTTTTAGTATAAAGTTTATTATTAGTATTTTTTAAATTATAAGTCAATTTACCTCCTATACAAAACTGCTTTGTTTATCCGTTAGAGGTTAGAGGGCATCACGTTTAAAATAAATTAACGCTTGCCATTTCAATGAGATTTGGAGGAGAATGCTTTAAAACTGGACTTTCACAAAAAAAATATAAAGAGGTTCGGGAAGGGTAAACACTGTCTTGACTACTAAAAAACTCTAGCAGAAATATTTTATTATATTTTTAAAACGGTGCTTCTAGTACTTACTACATTTTTTGTCTTTTGTAAAAAAATGATACCTCGCATAATAAAAAAAAGGTTTTGCCAAAGGTGACTTACAAAAAATATTACTTGGTATACCAAGCGTTAAAATCTAGTAGGCGATGATAATTTAGTATACAAAAGTATAGAATATTATGTAAGTGTCTCAAATGATCTTTTGCAACGAGCTTCATAAATTTTAAATTAATTAACGTTTGAGTTTATCAAGATTTCATGCCCTCTAATGGATAAACGAAGCACTTTTAATATACATATATAATTTTTCTTTTCAAATTATTTGAAATGAATTAGTCAGTACCAATAAAATGAAAAATATCTATTTGGTGAATAATGCTTTTGTACATGACAATATATAATAAACTTATTCATACTTTAATACAAATCCACCATACAGGACAGTATGTATCTAAATTATTAGTGTAATCCTCCTGAATCAACAAAAATGGACATAACTAAAATTTTACACAGACTAGAAAGTCAAGCAGCAACAATTTGTAGTTATAAAGAATGGTTACACTGGGAATATAATTAAAAAACAATACTGAGATTCCATAAGAACATATTATCCAGAGGAATACTGTTCAAAATATATTACCTACAATGAAAGTTCCAAGGGACCAAATCCAAAGGGCAGCTGACACTTGCGTGAGATCATCATCCACCACAAGTGGCACACAAGCTACCACCTTTTCCAGCAAGGGTCGGGAGCCTACCTCTCGACCCAATAAGCGACACAATCTAACGTTTCGTCTACGCGGCCTGGGTCAACCAGGCGGGCTAGACGATCCTCTGAGAGTAGGTCTCAGCGGAGCAGAAGCACAGAGATACCTCCGACTGCTACACGAAGGACTTGCTCCAGAGGAAGCAAAAGCGAAAATACCCCTCCGAAAAGGGGAGAGTAAAGAAACCAAGTAACAACCTGACTTATCTCCATCAAAGGGCAAGAGAGGGAGTCCCTCTCACCTCTTCTCTGGTAGGGAGAGAAAAAAGCCAGGATGGAAAGTCGTTCAACACCGGGAGGCAAGCAGGGACGTATCACCAGCTTTGCCGCTATTGCTGGATAAGTGAAAATGGCGGTGCTGCCAAAGGACTTCCCAGAGGTTGCTCTGACCTCTGGGAATGAGGCTATACTGGACGAAGTAGTGGCGATCGGATCGCAACACAACGATCTACAAAATGTGGGTCAGCTGCGTTTTACGGGGATACACTTTCGGGTGGGCATGATCCTCATAGATTGTGTATCTCAAGAATCGGCGAATTGGTTGGTGGAAATCGCACCTAAGCTTAAAAATTGGCAAGGGCCGGAATTGGTTGCAGTGAAGGGAGAAAACATCTCTAAAGGGGCAGTCATCACGGTCTTTTTGCCGAGGAGTAAGGGGAAAGACACCACCTACCTGCTGAGCCTTATCCAGGGTCAGAACATCAATGTAAGGACATTGAGTTGGCGAGTCATCAGCTTGAGGGAGGAGGGTCATGATCAGGACCAAGGAGGCAATGGCAATAGAGAAAGAGGGACATATCCTCTATTATAGATACGGGACAACACCAGTATCAGGTCTAAGGAGAGACTAAGTTAAAGAGGTGGAGAAAATGGAGACAGATCCTCCAGCCTACATCTCACGGGTACCTCAGCCGGGGGCTCGACTGTGAAGGGCACGGAGGGCCAAACTTCAACCGTGGAACGGTGTGTACCCTCGGAGGAAGAACATCTGTTGTTTGAGGAGGATGGGAAATACCCCGTCCCCTCTACAACAGAGCTATGATGGGTTATAGACTGTATGATGACTCAAGGAAGGGGAGCACAATAGATCTTTAAGGTCGCTGAGTAATTCCCCCCTCCCCCCTCTCCCTCATTCTACATTCTAATATAATTTGTACACGGCACAAGACAAAAAAACGAATTAAATTATTTTGTTTATCTTGTATATAATCTTTTATTTTAATTAAACAAACGCTGTAAAACGTTTAATGATGATAAGTGGCTTAAAAACAGATTGAATTATTTTTTTATTAGAACATTTCAAATTGCTTACTTTTATTTTGGTCTAGACTTTAGTCACATAATCTCAAGAGGCTCAAGACATAAAAAAACATGCCTACTTATTTTGATTGTAATCTGTTTTGTTTTAGTAGGTACCCAGTTAAATGCTTTACAGCATTTTTGGTTTAAAACAGATTAATTTTGCGTTCATTAAAGCTTCTAACCAGTAATAATGTATAGTAATTAATAAACTTTTATCAATTTTCTCAGTAGTCTTCTTTACTTATCTTGTTGGATAATTTAAACGACATTGTTTTAAAATTTACACACCCTATGGAATGAAATCTCACCAATTCACTTCTTACGTTTTCTCATCAAAAAATTGCGGCTTTTACAGGTATAGATAATGGAAAAACACTTTTAATAAAATAACCTTGTTAAGGAAACAGTTGCAGTTGACAGTTTTTACATTTTCCCGCCAATTACGTCATTGGTTAGTTCAAGAAAATCAATCTTTGACCTACATTTTAGTTCAATTAAATTATTTCATTCTCGCGTGATCGCGGGACATATACTTAATCAAAATAATGCAAAACAACAAGAATTATTGATGCAATTAAGTATTTATCGTTCTTAAAAGATAACCGGACAAAAGACGTTTCAATAAAGGTACGTAAATGCGATCGATAACAGCTGATTACGAATGCCATCGTACGATGTGACATTGACAGTTAACATCCAAAACAATAAATTACAGTGATGTGTAAGGGGTTCTAGCCAGTTTTCCACCGCACGAAAATGCTGTTCAAGTCGCGAATATCCATCATAAAATCCCTGGGACTACGTTACTCCAGCCTGTACGCGCCGGAGTTCATTTTCAGTAACGAAAACGTGAAAAAAACGGTGGCCAAATTCGCCAGTTTGAAGCCGATAAGGATGATCGCTCACCAGCCGAACAAGCGCGCAGGCGTGCTCATTCCTCTGTGCGTCGTCGACGGTAAGGTGGCGCTACTGTACACTCTTCGCGCGGCAAATTTGAAATCCCACCGAGGCCAGGTCAGTTTTCCAGGCGGTATGCAGGATGTTAGCGATAAGAATTTAGAAGAAACGGCTTTAAGGGAGACTGAAGAGGAGCTAGGCATTAAGGAACACGACATAGAAATATGGGGGAGTGGTAATGTGATAGTAACTAAACGTGAAACCTGCGTAACGCCAGTAATTGGAAGAATTAAAGGAAATTTCGATATGGACAGCCTAAAAGTAAACCCTTCAGAAGTCGAAGAAGTATTCACCGTATTCCTTGAAGATCTCTGTAAGCCGGAAAACATAGGGTACACTCAGTTTCGCGGGGGATTCACCTCGATGCCTGTTTTTACCGGGGGTAAACTCAGGATCTGGGGATTGACAGCTGTCATGACGTACAGGCTGCTGAGCAGTTTGTTGCCTCAGAAGGCGTACTGTCACGCGATCAAATATATCACGCCTGTCAAAAATAAACAGAGTAGACTATAGGGATGATGTCCTAAAGTATTTTGAGTATTATACAAATAATTCTTCTCCTTGTACCTCTGTGCTGTTTTTGACAATCTTAAATTTTTGTTCGAATATATACATATACTTACCTAATACATGAAATTTTGACCAAAAGGTGAATCAAAAAAAATAAAATAAACCGTGATATGTGATATATTATACATGTCGTGTACAAATATTTATTCCTATATTTTTACAATAATGTTAACGTTTCTTCATAAATCTCTTACAATAAATATTATTGTAAAGTATCTAGATATGTCTGTTTTAAATTATTTTCCTTGTTTTTTATATAAAAAAATCAAAGGTATCAGTGTTGTGGTTAGATATATTTGGTTGTTTTGTTTTGGATATTTTATATGGAAAATTATTTAAATTTTTTAATAAAATGAACATTGATCGCAAGGAGCGTTTTTTATTACTTTCATATAAATTCCCTTTTCCTTTATAACCTGCAATATTTGACGAATGTTGCAAAAATCCACATTTTCCATATATTTGCAATATGTCATGAATGTTGCAAAAAACAATATTTTCCATACATTTGCAATATATTTCATGAATGTCCCTAAAAGCCCTATTTTCCATACATTTGCAATATTTCATGAATGTTTCAAAAAGCCATGTTTTCCATACATTTGCAATATTTCATGAATGTCTCAAAAAGCCATATTTTCCACACATACAATATTTTTTGAATGTCTCAAAAAGCCATATTTTCTAGACATTTGCAATATTTTAGAAATGTTGCATGAGTATTTTAAACCAGCAATACTTCATGTATGTTGCAAAAAGCAATATTTTCTATACATTTGCAATATTTCATGAATGTCTCAAAAAGCCATATTTTCCATACATTTGCAATATTTTATGAATGTCTCAAAAAGCCCTATTTTCCATACATTTGCAATATTTCATGAATGTTTCAAAAAGCCATATTTTCCATACATTTGCAATATTTCATGAATGTCTCAAAAAACCATATTTTCCATACATTTGCAATATTTCATGAATGTCTCAAAAAACCCTATTTTCCATACATTTGCAATATTTCATGAATGTTTCAAAAAGCCATATTTTCCATACATTTGCAATATTTCATGAATGTCTCAAAAAGCCATATTTTCCACACATATATATTTTTTGAATGTCTCAAAAAGACATATTTTCTAGACATTTGCAATATTTCAGAAATGTGCGTATTTTAAACCTGCAATATTTCATGTATGTTGCAAAAAGCAATATTTTCCATACATTTGCAATATTTCATGAATGTCTGAAAATGCCATATTTTCCATACATTTGCAATAGTTCAGTATTCAACGTATATTGCATAAACATTTTTACTCTGCAATATTTTATAAATTTTACAAAAATCCATTTTTTCCATACATTTACAATATTGCTTGAATGTTGCAAAAAACCATACTTCCCGTACATTTGCAATATTTCAGCATAATAAACATTGCTATAGTAAATTTAACTCATCTTAATACATTTTCTTTTTTTTATTCAGACACGGCTTTACACGTTTAAAATAAGGTGAAATAGTACTGCAACATTGAAAAAAAAACGGCGCCACGGTAGCCTTTGAAATGAGACAATCGTTGATAATTTCTATCAGGCCGAAATTAAATATAAACTTTTGACAGATTTTTTATGTAATTTTTTAATAAATCACAGATGAGCGGTCGGTCGGTTCGACAGGAATTGTCATCTATTGTCATTTCAAAGACCACTGTGACAGCGTGTTTTGTTTTTTGAGTATATGGTGTTTTGCAAAAATTCAAAAATAATAATTAAAAAGTTATTAGTAATATTTTACAGTAAATTTTTATAATTTCTTAATTGTTTTTATTCTTAATAAATTTATTTTTTACCAATTACAACGTACATATATTTTTTAACATAGGTTTTTTTCGATATTACCCTCTAAAAACAACCATTTATACAGGATAAAGTGGAGGAAAAAATATTAATGTATTAGGAATGTCCGCCGATATCGATATATAAAATATATCGATACTTCCGTATCGATATATTACGTATATCGATATTCGCGAAAATATTAAATAAAACCTAAAAATAAAATAATTACATCCTTTTTAAATCTTTTATTTTTTAATAATTATGAATTTAGTTATAACCGGCGTTTAAAAAAATCCAACAACCTCAAAAAAAGTTCGGTTAAATGTTTTCAAAGCCGGCCATAATCAAAATATATAAATACATAAAAAATAACATAATAATATACCTTAACATGTAGCAAATATATATATAGATTTATTAAAAGTAAAAAAGAAATACTTTTTCTTGTAAAAACTTAAAAATTTATCTCTTGTTAACATTTTATTTTATAGTAAAAATGCAGCGAAAAAGTTTTTTTCCTTATTAAGGGAATCATTGAAAAAGCTTGGAAATAATAAAAAAAACGGGAAAAATTAGGCAGCTAATTCCACCGGGTTTACGTTATAAAGAGGAAGAACTTGTAACTATATACAAGGCGACATGAAATATTTTGTTTCTCATCACAATTATGTTAATAAAGTTATCAAAAATGTTTATATATTATATGTGTATATAAATTTTCGTTTTTTTAATATTATTTTTTGATTTTTAAGTAGCTATGAACAGTGCAGTTCTAACAAACTTATATATTTGTTTGTTATAAAAATTAAGAAATGTTTAAAACATGCGCATATAATTTTTTTAAATAAGATTTTATCTTAAAAATATAGTCAAAGCTATCACCACACAGCTTATCTTTTATTTTTATTTATAAAACATTTTTTTTCCATATATTTTATAAACATACAGTCGAACATAAAGAGTAACTGTTAAATTTTGTATTTCAATGTTAGTAATTTTAAATTAAAACATTGGGAATAACACGCTGAATGTAAAATTGTGATTTAAAACGCCAGAAAATATTTTTTTTCTGATCTCTAAAACGATTTTTTTCTGATCTCTACAGTTAGATTTTATATTTCAATTAATATCAGCGCAGAGTACAAAGAACCTATATTTTTTTCTGAGCAACTGAAATCAGAAAATAGACCTTTGAAATACTATTTAATATTTTATTTCTAAAGCTTCAAGAAAGTAGGTATGGTATACATTTTATCCTACAGAATTAGCGTATATATTTTTTTCTGAGCATCAACAATCACCATTTATTTAGGTATTGGAGATTTATTTTTACAGTTTGAAGAAACTGCCGTGTTTTTTTCGATATAAAGTAAAAATGAATAAAGATTTTTCTGATCCCTGACATCAGAAAAACTCTTTATTCATCTGAGCCAGAGAATAAAACTAACGTAGATCAGAATATATATTTTTTCTGAGCGTCAATTAGGATACTTCTTTAATTTTCTTGATTCACGAAACCCTTCGATTAAGAAAAGATGAGCTATAACTGTTGTAGTTTATTTTTCAATATAAAACTGTCGAGAACCAGAAAAAACTGCACCAATCACCAGAGATCGATTTTATTCAGAGAAAGTCTAAAGAAACCGCAGTTTAATTTTTGGTATAAAACTGACGTAGATTATATTTTTTTCTGAGCATTATTTAAAATCATTTCTTGAGCTAATGACTTTTTGTCAGAGGCAACCTAAACAAAAATGATTGAAACTATTCCCTATAAAACAAAGGTAGATCAGAAAATGTTTTTCTTTTTCTGAGCATCAATTATCAATAGTTCTTAAATTATAGCAGATTGATTCTCGTGTTTTCAAAGCCTGCGGGAATATAACACTTACAATTAAGATGTTAAAGAATCAGAAAAATTTTTTCTGAGTATCAACTACCAGAATTTTTTAAGTTACGGCAGATTGATTCCTCCGTTGTCAAAGTGTAAGAAAATGTACCTAAAAAAATTTGTTAAAGGATCAGAAAAAAATATTTTTTTTCTGAGCATCAATTACCAGTATTTCTTAAGTTACGGTAGACTGATTCTTTTGGTGTCAAAGTCTGACAAAAATGTAGTGCTCAAAATAAAGATGTTGGAGGATCAGAAAAAAAATCTTTTAAGATACTAAAAATGTTACTTTGTGTCAGAAGAAGTTCGATAAAAGAAAAACGTGTCGTAATAGCCACGCTGCACCATTATTAAGCCGTTAAAAATTATATATTTATGGTTTTAGTAGTATTTTAAGGTCTAATGCGACTGGTGAACAACGAACGAACGTACAAACGAAAAGAAATATCTTTACGAGTCTAGGATGGGGATGGAGGTGGTGTAGACCGGCGTTTCCAATTCTATCCTGGCGGTGGTCCTCAGGCCCAGCTGGTTCTTGATGTGGCTGATGATGTCCTGGTCGGCGGGACAGCTCTGTCTGAACGCCTCCAGTTCGTACATGTTCTCCATATACCTAGAGGTCAGAAATATTACGATTTTTTTACCTTTACAGAGAGCGTTGCTTATGTAAAGTGAAATAATTCAGAGGATTTATCTTGAACATTTTCACAACAGTAATAGACCGAGCTTGGAGAACAGCGCAGTCGTTATCGGTAAAATACTTGCGTGATTTTATTAAATTTTATTGTGTTCTCATTTACGTGGAAAAACGGATTCCTCGTAGCTACAGAATGGATCGACGCAGATTTTATTGTCTTGTTTGTAAAAATGAAACTTCTACACCCTGTATCTCCGAAACTAAGCATTTTAGGACATACATTTATAAGAACTTTTTTACTTATTTTTATTTGCAGAATATGCTGCCGAAGTTTCCGGACACCCTGTATAGAGTTTTACCGACAATATTTTATACACACTGAAATTTTAAATTTATTAATTTCTCGCTTTGTATTCCAATTGCACTAACCTTATAAATAAAATTAAACTATCTTAGAATTAAAATGATAGACACATCTCTCACTGTCGTGGATTCTCTAGCTGGACAAACAATACATACCTCCATAATCCTTGGAATCTGGTCGGGATTTCAAACTTTCTAAAAGCTTTAGCTCCAATCCTGATGTGTTGCAATCTTGGCATCAGTTCACAGTCAAAACATGACATAGTATCACCTAAAATATAGACATTTTGCTTAGAGAGTATTTTTTTTGGAAATAAAATATATATTTAATGTTTTTTTTTTTTTTTTTTTTTTTTTTTTTTTTTTAAAAAACATTAATTTTTTTAAAATTTTTCTCTATATTTACCTGTGAGGAATCGGGTGCCTCTCTTGACCAGGAAATCGTTGATCCTCTCCAAATGGGAGAACAGTGGTTGACTGGCCTCTTTCGTATCGGCAGATTCGTATTTGGTAACGTACATTTTGAACTTGGTGTAAAGGTTTTCGATTAAAGTTGCCACTTCTTTATCCTAGAAAAGGAATAATGTTATTTCACAGAGCATAGCACGCCTATCAAAAGAAAAGATTCACATTTCCTCCCGCAAAACCGGTCTACATCAGTAGATCATTTTTTTCTGAGCATTATTGGAGATTGATTCATATTGTTTATTTTTCAATATAACACTCCTGGCGTGGATCAGAACATTTTTTTTTCTGCGCTCATATCCTTTATTACAATGTTTTTCTGAGCATTAATAATTTTTCTTTGAATAAAAAAAAAAAAATAAAAAATGAAGAAGAAAATAAAGAATATTCACATTTCTTCCCACAAAACCGGTCTACATCAGTAGATCATTTTTTCTGAGCATTATTGGAGACTGATTCATATTGTTTATTTTTCAATATAACACCCCTGGCGTGGATCAGAAAAAATAGTTTTTTTTCTGAGTTCGTATCCTTTATTACAATGCTTTTCTGAGCATTAATAATTTCTTTACGATTTTGTTTTAAATAAAGAATAAAGAAGAAAATAAAGAAGATTCAACTTTCCTCCCACAAAACCAGTCTACATCAGTAGATCATTTTTTTCTGAGCATTATTGGAGATCGATTCACATTGTTTATTTTTCAATATAACACCCCTGGCGTGGATCAGAAAAAACATATTTATTTTTCTGAGTTCATACCCTTTACAATGTTTTTCTGAACATTAATAATTTCTTTCCGATTTTGTTTTGGATAAAGAATGAAGAAGAAAATAAAGAAGATTCACATTTCCTCCCGCAAAACCGGTCTACATTAGTAGATCATCTTTTTCTGAGCATTATTGAAGATTAATTCATATTGCTTATTTTTCAATATAACACCCTTGGCGTGGATCAGAAATTTTATTTTCTGAATTCATATCCTTTATTACAATGTTTTTCTGAGCATTAATAATTTCTTTACGATTGTTTTGAATAAAGAATGAAGAAAGAAAATAAAGATTCACATTTCCTCCCACAAAACCGGTTTACATCAGAAGATCGTTTTTTTCTGAGCATTACTGGAGATTGATTCATATTGTTTATTTTTCAATATAACATCCCTGACGTGGATCAGAAAAAAAAAAAATCCGACTCACATCCTTTATTACAATGTTTTTCTGAGCATTAATAATTTCTTTATGATTTTTGTTTTGGATAAAGAATGAAGAAGAAAATAAATAATATTCATTTCCTCCCACAAAACCGGTCTATATCAGTAGATCATCTTTTTCTGAGCATTATTGGAGATTGATTCCTTGTGTTTATTTTTTAATATAACACCCCTGGCGTGGATCAGAGAAAAAAAAAAAATATTTTTTCTGAGTTCATATCCTTTATTACAATGTTTCTCTGAGCATAAATAATTTCTTTACGATTTTTGTTTTTGAATAAGACGGCCAAGAAGAAAATTAAGAAGATTCACATTTCCTCACACTAAACCAAATGCTTTTTTTCCAATGTATGACCCTGGCGTGGATTAGAAAAAATATATTTTTTCTGAGCTCAAATCCTTTATTACAGTTTTTTTTCTAAGCATTATTGAAGATTGATTCATATTGCTAATTTTTCAATATAACCCTGGCGTGGATCAGAAAAAATATCTTTTTTTCTGTGCTCAAATCCTTTATTACAATTTTTTCTGAGCATTATTGAAGATTGATTCATATCGCTTATTTTTCAATATAACAACCCGGGCGAGGATCAGAAAATATATATATTTTTCTCAGCTAAAATCCTTTATTACAATTTTTTCTGAGCATAATTTCTTTACGATTTTGTTTTGGATAAAAAAGGAAAATAAAGAAGAAACTGCGGTATACTTTTTGTTATTGAATTTTTTTCCTGAGTGCTGAAGTAATTATTTACCTGTACAAATAAGTTATGTCCTCCAGGAACGGTTTTCATGATGTGCCTCTCAATTTTCTCGTTCTCCAATATGGCCATGCCCCTGTCAATGAGGATGGGAGGTGGAGTAGCCTCGAAATTGGTCCTGAAATCGGGAGGAGGTTTCTGCATGTCCACGGTGGTCACTTTGAGGCTGATGGTCTTGAGCTCGGCCAGGAGGTAGAGCTCCATGAAGTACTCTTGGCAGAAGAGGCATGCCCCTTTCCGTCTACCGTCTATGGTGGAAGCCTGTAAATAAAAATGAATATTAAGAGTCAATTTCGCTAGTCCGAAAAAGTAGCAAAATTAGCTTTCGGCATTTAACGTTTTATGTAAAACTGGTTAGATATGTTTACACAAACGAGGAAGAAGGAAATTAAAGATAAAGGGTTATACTATAATATCCGTATTGTGATGATGAGTGAAATATCGGTAACTGTGACTTTGTCACTGATATTCTATAATCACAGTCACGGCCTGTGACTGATTTGAAAATAAACGGTGACTTGCTAAAGCGTGACGATTACAGTTAATTGTGATTTCTCTGGCAACGAGAAAATACTTCACAAAGCGGGACGTCGCGCGTCTGGTAGCTACCGATGGCGCCGGTCGTGACTCAGTTCACAGTCACGAGTCACGACGTACGTCTCTTAGGATAGACATCTGACAAAGTGATCTAAAGACAGTGACTGTTAGAAGTGATTTAATTTTTATATTTTATATTTTAATTACTATTTTTATCACTACGAATCGGTTTGGTTCCTTTTTAGTTTAGTAGGGTTTTTAAAGCCAAACATAAAGTTTACCTTTATATTGTTTATTTTTTTAGAAACTTCATTTTTTATATATTTCGTTTATTTTAAGCTAAGGAAAATATTTGTTGTTTAATATATTATCTCGTGTTGTTAAAAGTTTCGTTCGTTATGGTTATTAGCATATTGCATATTTTATTCTTTTTCCGTTGGTTTCTTTAAAATAAAAAAATTGTTTATTTTTATTTTTTAATATACCTTTTTACCCACTGTTTAGTGTTTTCTATTTCAGCGGCCTTGGATAAAGGACAAATAAAAATTAGTATAACAACAACAACAGAATCGTATCATTCGTATCGTATCTTATATTTTAGCCGTGATTGTGCTTTCGGATTCATAATCATAAAGTCGCAGTCACAGATAATACAAAGTCGCTGTCACAGGTAAGCCTGTGAACAGAAAATCACGGTTTGGCTCATCACTACCGTATTGTAGCATATTTTTAGACAAATTCTTTATTTTTAAGATTTTGATTGTCAAACATCAACAAAATATTCCTTATGTTTGGACTAAATTTTATCGAAAATAAAGACATAATTTAAAATTCCGTTACAATACGGAAATAAATTAAAAAAAAAAAAAAAAATATATAATTTATATGGTTTTGTAACAAATTGCTCGTTATTTTATGGCAAATGCTGAAGCTCTGCAAACCTTAATCAAGCCTTAATTAAAGCACGTGTGTTTGGAATTTTAGGTGTGGCTTAACACGACAGGATCGGAACTACCCGCTTTATTCGATCCCTGAGAGCGACCCGAAAGTACACTTCACAAAATGTTTCTTTCTTATTTAATTAGATAAAAAAATCTTCTTTGACCAGAATGATGAGTACTACCGAGTTTCCGTATTATTGAAGAAAGTAATTTTAATTTGATCAAGGTACAGCTAATTTTATATTGTTTATTGCTATGTACGACCAAGAAAACCAATTTGATATCACTGCACGCAACAACATCTGTGCTAATGTTATGTAAAGAAGCCATGAGTCGTATTTAAATGTTAGAAATTCGGAATTCGTGCAATAAATCCGGTTGAATAGACGAGCAACTTCGTTGAATATAAAATACTTCCTATTTTTTAAATAAAAATAATATTTATTATCAAATGTATATTTAAACACAATGTTTATCTTTTGCTATTTTTACTAGTGGATGTTTGTCAATAAATTTGATATACCGGGTGTTTATCTTAGTTCTGGTTTCCTAAACCTATCTGGTAACCAACTCAAGGCGGAACTCAAGAACTTGGAAGATTCCATCCGCAACCTGGAATGGAAATCTTGCAATGGTCTAAGACACTCGAAGAAGTTTCTGAGGGCTTATGATCAAGAAAAATCACAGATCTTCCTGGGTCTGAGTAAGAACAATCTTCAGTTGTCACGGGGTTTAACAGGTTACTGTCTCCTCAATGAACACCTCAGTAGATTGAAACTAAGAAGAAACAGCGAATGCAGATTCTGTGGGGAAGATGGTGAAACACCAGTACACCTCATCACTGAGTGCGCCGAGACGACAACCATTCGTGCCATGAATTTTGGTACGACTGATATTGGAGATGGAGAACTACCCTCTATAAAACCGTCCCAGATACTGGCTTTTGTCAAAGCCCTGGGACTGTATGATGAGTTATGATTCAAGAAAGGGGGACACAATGGATCTGTAAGGTCGAAGTGATTAACACCCCTCCCACTCATTCTAAATTCTAAAAAAAATTTCTAAACCTATCTAGCCCAGATTTTGAATAAAGAGCAATTTTTCAATAAAATGGCAACCAAAAGGGCTGATGTCATGGCGAGTTTCTAGCGAGAGTTATAGTAGCTATTTTCAAAATCGAAATTGGTTTATGGACTTTATTTAACTTTACAGCAGTTTACTTTTATTTAATTTACCTACAATAGTTTAATAAATAATATTTATTAAATATACACTTATTATTCTATCAAGAAAAACGAAGTAGTTAAGAGCCAATTACGGCAAATTCATTTTCTTCACTTTCGACGACAGGTTTCTGCCTAATAGGTTATTTATAAACCACACTACCAGCTTTGCGAAATAGGACAAGTAGTTTTTCAAAAAGGAACGCTTATCAGGAAGATTCCTATTTGGATATTTTTAAGCATAAGCCCTTGAAACCAAGAAGCAATTTTCCTCACAATACAAAATCACTAGTAACATATCCATTCGTTCCAAACAGCAGATACTGCTTTATTTTTCTTGATAGAATAATGAATACTTACTTATTAAACTATGTAGGTAAATTTAAGTAAACTGTTATAAATCTAAATAATAATGTCCATAAACTAATGTTGATTTTGAAAATAGTTACCAACTGTTGCCTAGAAAATTGCCATGGCGACGCCAGCCATCTTGATTGCCATTTTATTGAAAAATCGCTTTTTATTCGAAATCTGAGCTAGATAGGTATAGGAAACCCTAATATAATTTGAAAGGGTACTTAAATCTGCTTCGATTTATTTTAAAAAATACAGGGTTGAAATAACAAAGTTTTTGTGCAAAATAAATATTTAAAATAGATCAGCAATTTTTGGCACCCCCGTAAAAATTTAAGAAAACAATAACATTTTTCAGTAAAGTTTATTTCTCTACCTTTAAACTCAGCACAAGAATTAATTCTGAAGAGTAATGTACAGGGTGGGTCAAATTCGACGCTTTTAAATGGAAACACCTTTTTCTATAGGAGATAGACGAAAACTAATATCGGTGTCTGGAGCTCAATTTTTGTCAAAAGCATGATGGTGAAAACCGCATATCGATATTTGGTACCGTTTCGGGTACGGGTGTTTTCAAAAATATGCATTTTTGACAAATCGCTCGCTTTTTGCTATGGAAAATTTTGTATTTTTATGAAAAACATTTCCAAAGCACCTTTTTACGGCAGGAATTTAATGGTTTAAGTATAATTTTTTTAAAATTAATAATTTAAGATTTATCAACAGAAAATTTGATTGTTTATATGGGACACCCTGTATATTTTTAATTTATTGAAAATAATTTAAAATTACCTTTCAAAAATATAACACACTTGATATTTTGCTCCGATTCCTCTTCGAGATATAGAGTATATAAAAATTCGCCCTTTAAATAAGTAGGCTTGAACGGCACCGGCTGTAATGCAAAAAAATTTTAGCTGTGAGCATCGAATTAAAAACAGAAAATAATATTTGCTATGAGAGATGCAGAATTCTATAACAATTTTTAACATATATTTAACCAACATCAACACATTTAAACTATCTAATAACAATAAAAATAAATAGCAAACCAAGACATGAGATTTTGCTACAGGTGTTCAACATATCAACCTTCTTCTGTTATGGACAGACGGGGCAGTTTTTGAACATTTCTCGCGGAATTCATTAACTCAGTGTTGAAGTATTTCTAATTCTTGTCTAGATTATACGGAAGAATAAGGAACCTTTATTCTTCCGCAAATATATACATAGGATTAAATCCATGGGCACTAAATCAAGCGGTCTCGACGGCCAACGGCTGGGATCTTGGTTAGCTATTCAACTATTGTTGAAATTGGCTGTAAAAATTTGCTAATAACTTCAGCGTTCAGAGGCGGTGCGTCGTCTTGCTGGAAAAATATGTTTTTCGGGTTCCATTAAGGGCATTTCATCAATAAAGAGGGTCCAAAGCCTACTAGTTAAAAAGTGGCGAACTTTTTAAAAATTCTGGTTCGAAGGGGATTATAACAAAATATCAACTGTGCTATATTTTTTTTGGAAAGGTAACTTTAAATTCTTTTCAGTTAATTAAAATATACAAATAAAAAAAAAAAAAAAAAAAATCTATTTTTCTGTTGATAACTCTTAAATTATTAATTTTAAAAAAATTATACTTAAACCATTAAATTCTACGTAAAAAGGTGCTTTGGAAATGTTTTCATAAAAATACAAAATTTTCCATAGCAAAAAAGTTACAGGGATTTGTTAAAAATGCATATTTTTGAAGAACACCCCGTAACTCCGAAACGGTAACAGATATCGATATGCGGGTTTCTCCATCATGTTTTGACAAAAATTGAGCTCCAGACACCGATATTAGTTTTTGTCTATCTCCTATAGAAAAGGGTGTTTCCATTTAAAACCGTCGAATTTGACCCACCCTGTACAGGGTGTTGATAATCTATTTTATTGTAGAATGCATATTTAAAAATCTTTAAATATCTCAAAAACCAAAAATTTTAAACATATTTAACCCTAATAATAAATAACTTTTTTTGGGCCCAAGAATCCAAAAATGACATAAAATACCGGGAGTTCCATAAGAAAAAATATAACTTTGGTATGGATCTTAGTTCTGAAACACCCTGTATATTTCAAAATAATTATAAAGTGTGCACATTGTTTCCCCACATATACCAATAAAATATTTTGTTTCAACATTTTTCCGTTTTCATATAATCAATCG